TGCGCATTCTCAGCTAGGCGAGAGAGTGTCTGAGCTGAACTGAGAGAAGGCCCCAATGCAGGCGTGAATGAAAGACATCGCGAGCACAGAGAGGAGGCGGTCTAGGACAGATGGACAGGCGATGCTATCGAAGAAACGAGCGAATAAACGGATGGACAGCTAGTGGGCATCCCTTAATTTATTCTTAGCTCAGCGAGGAGACGTCTGCGGCGACGCACTGCCTCCATTGGTGCTGATGGAACAGGGTAATCACTGTGTGCTGCGTGATATACGTCGTGATAGACATCGCCCAGTTAGCAACCACCATTGCTACAACTGAGGATACGTACAGATAATGGCCAAGGGAAAAGTTGGCGTCGAACGCATGCTCGTTGCTAGTGATCTAGTGACAGTTACCGCTGAATGACTGCTTCTAGCAGTCGCTGCCAACGAAGAGAACAATTGTCTCCTCTCGTGTCAGCCAATGAGACCAATAGAGTGCGTCAAGGTCTATCCGTCTCTCCGCTAGACCCTATCTTGTACGTCTAACGAGTGATTCCGCTTGCCTGTCTACTTTGCAGCGCCGAGTGGTTAGTAACTACATTTTCGTACTACACGACAAACAAAGTTGTCGTGTTGAAACTGTCCCCAACTGAACGAATCCCGAGTCTGTCCTAAGTTACCGCTTTTTTGCTGGCCCGCCTTTTCTTCCATTGTTACATCGATTTTACTGTTCGGTCTTATGGAATGTTGTGCAATCCTTGCTCTTCTATGGAAACATAATAATAACAGTAACGCATAACGTCTATCGAATCGACGAACAGCTGTTGAACGCGTTCAAGCATATCTAATTCAACTGGGGAAAAATTCCCGCGTATTGAACGACATAATATTGTAAGAATGCTAATATCGATGATATTAATGGTTACAGGCTGATATAGTAAACATCACTTACTACTAATTCATTGATTTTTTCCTTCTGGATCTGGACGGGCGGGCTTCTAAGCTAAACGAGACAAGCTGACATCGGTTCAAAATTGCACGCACACGCCACAAACACTGAGTGCCCTGTTTTGATGCAGCAGGCTTTTTACTCTGATACAACCCTTTAAAAGTATCCAATATCAGTTTCTCATTTATACTTTTTGAACACATTAGACACAAGCACCAACAAGAATTTGAAGGTAAAGAATATGATAAAAAGGCCTCAGTTTTCCATTTGCAGTACTCTCAGAACTCGCAATCCACACGACGTTCGCTTTAGATAAAGTATGTACGATACCTTCGGTCCGGTCGATATGTGCGTATCGCTACAAACGATTAAAAAGCCGATAACCTTGGAATATCTCGAGCAGTGTAGATATATTATGATGCTACCTTAGCTGCGTAAAGCCCGATAAGTGGTTTCATGTATATAGAGTCTATATAGAACCCATAGCCAGCAACCTGTTTGAGAACATAGAGCGAATGTGACATTTAAAGCATGTGTGTTTTAGATACATATACAGTCGTTCATAATAAATCGGATAAACTAGAATCAATCAAAAAAAAGGGTAAAAAATATACAGGGTACAGACGTCTCCCTGCACCCCGCCCCCGAGCCTGTCATTGTCAAATCGCTCGCCTTGCATTAAGTGCGTCAAATATATAGAACCTGTGCTTTTACACTTTGACGCTCTTAAGTTACGGACGTAAGTGCGGGTATGTTGGGGCAGACGGAAAATTATAGCTGTGCGTTCTTTCACGTTTTGATGTCCCTATCTTACATGCTAGCGGTGAGACGCACTATGCATGATTCACTATATTGGCTTGTTTTGAATGCTGGCGACCCATAAATATCTATTATGAGTCGGGACTTAATTCTTTTTCAGCAAACTTGTGACGTTAAATTCACCTTAACATACGATATATGATGAACGTTTAATGACTTTTCCTTTTTCTTTTTTATTAACATCTAACAGCTACACAGGCCCGTTTATTGTACATCCTCTGCGCACATATCTATGACAATAGCATTTTTGCTACCAGTGATGCTGCTGACGCTTGTTATGAGTTTAATTCGGCCATCTCGTTATACTCTAGGTAAAGTATAGACTATGCGGTGAATGTCTTTTGTCAGGAGAATCGCAGGAAGAAACAAACAGGGGAGTTGCAATAGCCCTGGTATGATCACTATTATTATATGTAGGCAGGCAAATAAATGGCTGTTGTTAAGCGCTAAAGGATCACACTTGTTACCACGCATAACTGAAGTACTGCCAGCAGTACGCTTCGCCAGCTGGTGCGAGTACGTTAGGCCGCGGGACCGCCCACCCGCCTTTGTCGAGCCGGTGCAGCTTTTACGCCAGGGCAAGCGCATGCATAGGGTTTAGCTCGTTCGCCGCTGATTTCTTCCCGGCTCGAACCCGTTGTCCCACCGAGTGCGAAAACTTTCAACAGACACCAGCCTAGCTGCTCAACTAAGGTCCGAGGCCTTGGCACGGTATGTGCTGCGACAGACTGAATAGATGAACGCTTTACAGTGATGATCTGATAATGAATGAATGAATGAATGAATGGCCTATTTCGTATGTAAATCGCATTATATGCATCTTTGTTTGGTCACCACTCCTTTATCAGATGGACTCTATGGAAGATTAGCCCGTTAACAATAGGTTCGAGGGACCCCTTATTTCAGATTGCAGATGGCTTAGCGTTAAAGCAGCTAAGGAGATTCACTCTCTTCTTGCCAGGATCAGCTTCTTCCTTAAGGTAACTAACTATCGCAGACGATCATTATGTGACACTTCCACTCCGGGTATGGCGTCATGGGATCAATGTTGCAAGCTCACATTTTGTGTTAACGCAAAAGGCCTCTTCTTGTCTCTAGTGAGATTTCCCGATACAAGAACCTCACGAGAAAAACGAGAAAATGAAAAGTCTTAATCGTTGTAAGACGAGTTCACTTTTTAACTTGTTGAATCTGTAATAGACGATGAATCAGCTTGACGTGACGCATTGGTCAGGGGAAAGCATGCATGGTATAAGCATTCAAAGAGCTCTCCAGTAGCTTCTGATTCCGCCAACTCACAGCTACGTGGACAATTAGTGACGCTATTTTGAACGCTACATGCGTTAGCAGCCGACTCTTAAAATAAATGTAAATCGTTGTTTAGGCATGTTTCATTAATTAGTCCTATTTTTATATTCGGCAAGGTCGTTAGCTGACATTGCGCTTAGTGATTAATTGCTCCAGAAATCTACCAGTTAGTCAACTGTTATTTGTGCACTTCGGTGACCTGACCTTTACATATCGTGAATAGCGGTTTCGTCTGAAAAATATTCATCAATATAAGTAGTAGGCACAAGTGGACCGAATTCTCCCGTATCTCATAGTTCGAATGGCTAGCTCCGCTCGCAGAAACGAATCTCATGAACGCTAGAAAGGCTGGCTAGTCGAAACAAGTGGCAACGAGGTTTAACAGCGTTAGACGTGATGGTAGGTTGTTTGAGCGTGACTACGCCTCTTCAATGGTAATTTGCAACCTAGCATTTTATTATCAACTAAAGCCATGCTCAGACATCATAAAAACTACAGCTGTCCCCAAGATGTCCTTGATATATATACTTGGGACGATGGGCTTATATAAATAATCCGTTTTTCCTCTAGCAAGGAGACGTTGATTATGAATTTGAATAGTATACATCTCGAAATGCGCACGAATTAGAAGTTCATCTCACTTTGCATAATGGGAAAACAAGAAAGATGAACAGCCCGGTTTTTTACCACAGTCATGCCTACTCCAGAGCCGCAGTTAGCGAGCAAGCTACAAAACTTCATTGAATTTAGTCATATTACATGAAATTTACACGGGCCACTGTACTTCGAACATTCATGGAACCGGATGTCGTCGATGCTAATTTAACAGAAAAATCAAAAAAAAAAAAAAAAAGTTGCTATATCCGCGCATCCGTTTCGCTGCTCTTTTGATGACGAGTCATATGTGGTTTTGACAGATGCACCGCATTGTAAATCCGAATTTACTATAGATGATTGTCTATAGCAGAAGCGGTAGTCAAAGAGGGTTGGTCATACAGGAAGAATATCATTTTAAGCCCAGCTTCGCAATGCGCCCAAGATCCTTACGAGAATATATAGTAGACAAATCATAATCCTTGACCTGCCCACAGCATTGTCTCTTCTAACTATAATTACAGCCTTTTTTGCGAAGCCAAGGATTTTTCCACTGAAATAATTAACTTACTGAGAGTTGATAAAATTGAATCTTTTCGAGACTAGGTTTTTAACCATTTTACCTTTTTTTAAATAAACGATCTCCGCAACAAACCCACGATTAAATTAAAGAAGATTAATTAAAGAATCTATTATAGAGCATTATATTTCGAGAGTATACGAAAGAAAAGTCGTGAAAATGATCTGCAAAAAGCTTGGATCCTGAAAAGATTTTGAAAAAAATCACAGTTACCTCGAACAGGCAAATTCCGTGAGGGTTGCCTTCTTCCACATATGCACTTCTATAATGTGAGAGTGTATATATATATACGAGTAGTTCATATGCGAAATACCGATAACAAACTGGGACACATTTTGGAGAGTGTTTGTCCTGGCTACTTTTTTCAAAAATTAAAACCATGAATCTGTTATTGCGGAAACAGGAAATGCAACTTCGTCATGTGAACGAAAAGAAGCTCCTGCTAGAAGCAGACAAAGCACCGTCAGTAACGAAAGCTTCCTTGATTGTTCGACATTGGCGCTGTTGTACATCATTATTTTTTTATGTGGCGGATTCAAGGCGAGACTTGCACCAGTTTTCCTCATTTTTTTTATATTACTTAAAATCGAATTAGAAGAAAATATTCGGGAAGTGACTTAGGAGGAAAATGGCAGCTAAACTAAACAAAGGCTGCCGCGAGAAGTGTACCTTGAAACATGCAGAAAGTCTCATCCAAATATTTGTTTTTTTATTTACTAACGCGCATCTTTTAAACAGGAAGCATCAATTTTGTCAATATTTATTTGCCCTTGCTCGTTATAGGACAAACAATATACAGTGCAACATCAAGCAATGTAACAATAACGCAATGACTATTCTAAAGAATCGATACTTTTATCAGCAGTGTTCCGCGCATCTCTTTAAAGCTATCTGTTAAGCACACTAGTGGGGCATATATAATCGTCAATAAACTTATCGCTGCAATATAAGACTCACTCTAAAATGAGAATTCTTCACGAAAGTAAGCGTCGAAGTGCATACGAATCATTTTGTGTTACCTGAACTTGCTGACATGAAGTACTGGAAACAAAAAAAAGGAAAGATGGAAAAAAAAAGATTTATAAAGCGTTTTTGTTTGTAGCGTTCGTCACTTCTAGTTGTCAGCAATAAGGCTTACACCATAAACATCTGAAACCTGCCGTGGACGATTGTGCAGAAACTAAGACCTGGTTACAGGAGAGCAGAAACGATGCTTTGCGAGCTGTTTGTTTCATGTTGGAAAATAACAGAACAACCCTGAAGTGGCGTGAGCTAGATTTTTTATTACGAAATGGTTTTGAGAAAAACTGTATCTTAAAGGCGCTATAGATCAAACTAAAGGTAAATAGAAAAAAAAAAGCGGAAAAATCAAAGGAAATTGATACCCATAATACTGCTAAAAATGCCATGTCTGTTTGTGACACGCTCCTTTAGAAAGGCAAAGTTGTCAACTCATTCGTGTCGATGTCAAATTTCCCGCTTCCATTGGGTAGGATACAGAGGTTAGGGTAAGCAGTGTTTATACGGAATGTTAAAATTAAAGCAATTTAGTAAGGGGTTAACATTAATGTATTGGATAAAAACGAGCCGTGATTTTAGTTAATGAAAATGTGTTGTTGAATCCCCTTGCTTTTCAACAAGAAGCAATGCATAATAGAGCGTCTCGGAACATCTGGTTAACCCACTGTAGGCTTCTCTTTTTCATGTTTTTGCGTTGAATAAAGCTTTAGGTTTGCAGCTTTCTCGATAAGCCTTATCCTATGCATCTTTTGGCTATGGCCTATGATGGAGTAGGTCAATATTTAACGACGCAGCGGAGCAAGTCACATAATAGGCCGGTTCTCATAAAAGTGCGACGCAACTAATTCCGTCCATTAGTAACAGACATCCTCTTCACTCAGATAAACCTTCTAGGGACGAAAACTTACCTAAATATACAGAGCCAACTTGCTATCTTAATATATAAACCGCTACCCATTACTTATGTGGCAGCCTTGAATTGCCTTACAATAACATTTGAGAGGTAGGTGTTCCCAGTGCAGCGAATCCCTGACATTTACCTTTAGTCACAAATAGGCAATAACATGATTCATATATTGCTTATCTATAATATAATCATTGTGATTAAACTGCGGCGTCATAAAGCATTGAGGAGTATTGTATTGGGCAGGTACATATACTGCCGGCATAAAGGAACACTAAAGGACTCAAATGTTCTGAGCAAAGCCCATAGTAAATTAGAGCAGCTAAAAATCCTCAGTGTTTTGTTAGTTAATGATGCATACGATACATGCCTTACCTTTGATAATAATACAAAACATAGCCTTACAAGTTCGTTACGCGACCTAATAATGAGCGATGCAATACGGACCGGGTGGCAGCGCTGTAAAGTCACTGCAGTGATAAGGTCTGAATATTCAAGGACTATTTTCTAAATAAACAGGACGTTGATGAACGTATGCTCGAATTTAAAGTCATCCAATAAGTAACAAAAGAGCGCCTTTTACGAATAGTGTAGGACCTATCGAGGAAACGTCGATATTAACGGCACGGAGAGTTGCGCCATAGCAGAATGTGTCAGTTTACAAACAATACCGCCGGCAGAACTCGAGAACTGGCGTAATATATATACACTACTACAAGTTTATTGTTCTGGGTAGTTGGCTTCTATCTTTATGATATGATACTTGCGTGGCTAAGCCATGCACAGTTACAGCTCTGTGCAGCCTGTGTGTTTTTATCGGGTTCTACATCTCAGACTTCAAACAGTGTTTACTTCAGAGAGCTGCATCATATGATATTTGCGATTTTTTTAGATGAAACTGGTTTTTTGGTATGATACAAGGCGTCAATAAAAAAAATTCTCAAGGTTCTCACTAACCCTGTAACATTGTTCTAACTCGATGGGTCTACAGTTATCTACTGCTCTGTATTTGTGTCGTTGGCTTCAGAGCCCTAACCCGCCGCATCAACAAACTTCTGCTTACTTAGCTTACACACATCCACGGCCATAGATATGTGATCAGTATTGAGCTTTATATATGATTATTTGCTTTTAGCGAGATATCTATTTCTGCATTGGTGGGTAACTTTTAACGTTCCTGCTCTCGCGAGGGACGATTTAAGTTACTGAACATTAGCTTAGACTAGAATTTACAATAGCACACAGGGCGGAAATCTCTAGTCACATACTAGCGAACGGAAGGCGAGTGAAACTAGTAAAATATACAGCAACTAGTTTACGAATGCTTTAAGCAACCTGTTTTCCTTAATATTATCATACTGTTTCTACGTTATACTGCTTTTATCAAGCAAGGAACATTGGTAGCTTTCTACAAGGTCTTCTTGCAATATTATTGATGACACACGGTCCAAAAAAATAAATGTTACATTATCTAGTGTACTGCGGTTCGACTTTACTTCTTTTACATTCGAAATGAGAAAATCCGTTTGCTATGCATACCTGGTACACGTTTGCTTTCATAGGGGGACGGTCATCGGCCATCGGACATCGGTTCATCGGTCACCTAAAAAACCGATGTACACCGTTTTGGAATACAGCTTGAGCAATAATAACAAACAAATGCAACGTCGAAAAAGATAGCTCAACACTCGCATATTATTTCGTGTTTTAGCCTCTTGAACTGACGAACCCTATTGCATGATAGACTTCGCGTAATAGGTTTATTGGAGTTGGCACTGCTGCGTACGCTAAAATTGGATGCACTCAGGCGAAGGCCATACTCAGGCTACTACAGGACCGATTCCTTGCTACAGTGCTTCGACCAGCGTTGCTCAAGCTGTTTGTTGCCTTCCATTGGGCTGGGACTTCTACGGCTACTGATTGCACCTAAGAAACCTAATTTAGAGGGAGAAAAGCTTGCCCAATAGTCAAGTTCGAACTGTAGCATAAAAAGACCAAATTTGATTCTTGCAAATTGGGATGGATATCATTGCAGGTTTAATGTTGGCTGTCTATGCAGAGTAAGTACGGCATAGAACACCGACTTAATGGAACTTACAAAAACCAGACATTTGAATTTAATTAAAAGCGGCCATGGTGAATATTGTAGCACGCTATCTCGTAGCCACTTCCTATGCTGGACACTTTACCTTCGTTTGACTGTCAGGACAACATTTGGCTTTAATGTTTTAGACTAAATTTTCTCAATGCCCGTCCTTAAGGTATTGCTCTAGAAATGGCAAAAAACAGAAATCATATTAGTTATTTATAAGTTCATTAACACTCGAACAACTAAGGGAACGAATGATAACGTTTATAAAACGTTATCGAAATTCGAAATATTACTATACTATCTATGAACGGTTTATGTTTAGCGACGTTGGCGCAGATGATTGGCTATATCTGGATTTTTACCCAGGCTACTAAGATCAAATAATGGTAAGCCAATTTATAGATAAGGTTGGATTTTACATCATAATAGTCTACTTAGACCAGCTTTTGTCCTAGGCACGTTCTGTACTGCGACCCTATCGCCTGATTGAGATAGGCTGGGGATTCCTATAACCACAATCTTTAAGGTTAGTGAATTACTAAATGTTTCACAGCTATAAAATATGGTTTATTCAAAGCCTGCCGAGATTTTAGAAAGCATTCAAGTGCTAGCTAGATCATTAACGGAGCCGATGTGGAAATTGCATCAGTGAAATTTTAAATACAATTCTATAAGGCGGCAACAGCCATTATAATATAACGCTACTCTTTCGAATAGCGCTAATATTTGCTACAGAAGCAAATCATCAAGCGATGTTTGAAGCATTTTCGAAAATACCGCGTCTTCGAGAAGAACGATGTTTGCCAATCGGTTAGGGTAAGCTTCGGTTGTTTGCCTCGAGTAGCTGCCTCAGTCCTACGTCGAACCAGTCAGTCTCGTTTTCTGATTTGGGCATTCTGTTGCATGGGTATTCTAAAAGTAGCAGCGGCAGCAGTGGCGCCGTTATTCACACGATTTTGTGCTTCTTTTTTTTCAGTTCAGGGGGAGCATGCGTACTAGCCCCTTGCAGGCACAGTCGATTCAAGCCGACTATTGTGTCTGAAGCATCATATGGCTAACGACGTTCGAAGGCGATTCCATTAAGAAATGGAATCTTACAGTCGGATTGTCAAAACACTTGCTACCGATATGTGTTAGATTAGAAACGTAAACGAACTAAGTAACTACTTAACGAAAAGTAACTAGTAACGAAAAGGAAAGAACACTGTTTATTGTTATCATAAACATTGCTAAAATAGGTATACTACAGTTATTTGATTGAGATTTTCGAGCTTAAATTTTCTACGAATATTGGTCTTTAATTGACATTTAATTCTGACGTACCGTAAGTCCAAGTCATGACGAAATCTCATGAAGTTATAAAGTTATATCATCCAACTTGCTCTATTTAAAGGTATAACACTTTTGTAGTTCAGAGTCTTGTCTCCATTACGGTTTATCCATTGCGCCAGTTATTTAGTTATTCAGGAAACACAAACTACACTGTATTACAAACAAACCTAACCTCGTTTGAATTTATTCGTTTAATCAAGTTTAATCTTAGACCAGTCCAGGTCTAAGAAACATCAATATGAAACGAAGATTACAAGGTCAGAAAAATAGCTTCTCCTTAATGCATGTAATGAGAATGTAAAATACTTTGTTTTTATTTTATAAAATGTTTGCTGGTTCCCCTTAATACTTTCCATGAATTAACAGGCTCCAAAATAGAAATTGCCTAATTTTCTGTATAATTTTAAAAAATAAAAAAAAAAGGGTAGCGAATTTTGTGTTCATGGTAAATGTAATTGGACTTAAATAGAATGAATGATGATAAACAAATGAAAATGTTATAACAATAAAGAGAAATACAAATGAACCAACAATGATAGTATAAATATATACTATCTCGTTGTTGTTATGCTTGTCTCTTGCTCTGTGATCGAGACTATTTTTGATCATTTTACAGTGTCAATGTGCATGCCTATATAACGTTTTTCTCTTTTCCAGTATTTAATTCTACGGAAAAATTCTAGATTTGCTAGATAGATAAAAAAATGGGCTTATACACCTGCTTTGCAGCAGGTGTATAAGCCCATTTTTTTAAACTATTTTGTCGATGCAGCTGAATGGTGCATGAGGTTTTTCCTTGCAGGTACGATATTTACATTTGTTAATGGTTCAGTCACGTTCCGTATGCAAAAAGACGGCCTTTAGCAGTGATCCTACTCAATCAATACGATCACATTATATAATTCATTCCCTGCGATATCTAATAACGACAGTTAGTTTAACCTTAATCATTTGTCTACCTATCAATCATATTATTCTTTAAAATTTCATATCACCGATAACAACAATCTATTGAATAAAGAACTTCGTTCACTGCTGACCTTTTCTGTCTAGATGTTTACCTTGTTGCATCAGTACATAAGTGAATAGTCTAGCTTCTTTCTGCATTGGAAGTCCCTATTCTGGTCTGCCTGAATTTCGTCAGCTGGAAAAAGAAACGTTATAAATCAAAATGCCTCAAAGCTGTTAGACCTAGCCGGGCTGATCATGAAGTGATATCTAAAAAGATCCTTCTTGGGGCTTTGTGGACAAAAGGTATTCTATTTTAATACGAATACGAACAACTTCGATGTATACAACCTCATCACACCAACGAATAGTCATTAAGTAAGACTGGGGTAACTGCGTTCTTACCGAGGCCGCTCCAGATCGAGCAGGTCCCGATCAGTGCAGCTCCAAAAGTGCTCATGAAGGTCAATAGACAACTTGTTGTTCCTGTCCGCATCGTGCAGATAGTAACCTTAGACCTGACCGGAACTCTAACCGTATGTTTCCTGAAAGATAACAAGTTTCGTAAGAGTCGCTTTTTTTCGAAGCAATGTTTAGCCACATTTAAGCTACGCAATCTTGCTTGGATCATACGAAGCATGAAAGCAAATAAGTTTTATTGCAGTGGGCGCATAAAAGCCCCAGATACTTGAGACTGGGAAGGAAGGACCTGATTTTTGAAAATTCCTTTGCTAACCTGGAAGTGACACTAGAGCCCAATAGACGGCCGTTCGAAAAATAAATAGAACGAGGAGGCTCAGAAAAGCACTGATAGCAGCAACATCTGTTGAAAAGCCACTAAAATACGCTTAGAACTAGACCTGTTTTTGTCGATCTTGGAAATAAGAAAAAAAAATTTTAAAAAAAAGCCTCGCGGCGTCGTATGGAATCACCTTGGTCGAAGACCACCCAGTAGGGGAGGCAGCTTTTTTTCCCAGACTGCCTGTAGCCAATCTTTCTTAAACCTGTTCTGAGACGTCGCATCACCGCCCTAAATCGATCAGCTTTCTTATTATTCCGTACAATAATTTTTATGCAACACCTGAAGCGTAAATTCCATCTGCTAGAAATACCGGCATGTAAATAAGCGCGAATACGAGAACAAAATGGCTTTCTAGCTTCATTGACAAATGCTATAAGCGACAACTCTATGGTCCAATCGTCATATGGTAGCATGATCCATGTGAAAATTCAGTTTGCCGTGAATCAAACAGCGCACGCAAGCCAAACAATGGCGAAGATCGTTATCCACTGACCTATGCAAGCCATCGTTATGGTGTTGTTGCTCTAGCTGGTGAACACCTGTTTTGGCAATTCTAATTGTTTTTCCCTATATCCATTTGATTTTTACAATATATATATATATATATATATATATATATATATATATATATATATATATATAAAGCGGGAGAGAGCGCCAACAAAAATGCTAAAAATAAGCGCATATATCTTTATGGAATAGCGTAGTTTACTCGTCTAAGGGTAGTAACTGAAACTTACGCTACATCCATATTGCCTGAACCTTAATATAGCGACAAATCAAAAGCACAAAAACAATATATTATCAATACCCTAACAAAGCCGTATTACTTGGTATCAGAACAACAATATTCCGTCTAAAACAAACATCGATTCGAGTATACTAACCTACTAGAATCAGCCTATATTTCAGGCAGTCTATATTTATTGATTTCATTGAAGCATTCACGAATTGTGTTCAAATCAGCCAAAAAACGATAGTCGAAAAATTCATCCACAAAAATGCAGCATACACGATTGGCACGACAGGGACACAATGAACCAGCGCTCGACACAAATAGAACAGGTGCATTTGTACGATAGCATGTAAGTTAAGATTGTTTGGAGGATCAAAAATGATACGCAATAATTATTAGAGGCTGACGTATCTTATGAAGATTCTCGTGAGCTGAATAACTTGTATATAGCAACGTGCTCGTGGCCAATTTGCCCCCTGTCAGTCGCTTTTTTACGATGCTTTTCAACGAAAAATACGAAATTCGTACAGCAAAATATCGTGCCCAATCACTTGAACAAAATACAGATAGCCTTTGTAGCAGGCAGCTGCACTCGACATGCGCAAATCAAGTTCATAAAGGGGGCGTTTTACTGTATACGAGATGGTCTAAAATCGTTTTACAGAGCGTTGAATTGCCTTTTACATGTCAGAAGCTACTATTCAGCCGATGTGTTTGGGTAACACTTGATAAGATAATTCGATTTTAGTTTTATATTTAGCTCCAGCACGGGCTATGTGACCTAGAATCTAAAAGTCATTGTGACTCGCTGATATTAGAATTATGAAGGAATGAGAATACTCGCCAAAAGGTTAGTAAACCATTTGCCTTTAACGTGGACTACATACTCCGTTCAAAGTTTGGTTTTTCTTTACATAGAAATTGAGTTCGCTGATTCGCAGCAAACGGCAGTATTTCACAAAGCACGCACACAAAGTTCACCTACCAACTTATGGCCGACTTCGGGACGACACGTTAACGGTCCTAAGCAATATCTGAGGCAATGAATGATTTACATATGGCCCGCTAGGGCCTACTACGGCCACGATTAAAGTACCAAAAAATTAACCTGTGATACGATGAAGTTGATCTATATAGGCAACTGTGGCAATGCACTATGACTATATAAATTGTTTTGATTTCGTTCGAGCGTTTCTGCGAAGTGCACCGCTCAATGCAGAATGGTCAAAGCGTATGGCACAGGCACAATAAAACATTTTTTTCGCCTCTCGTACATACATGGGAACCGTGCTAAGCCCACCATTGCCAACTGGGTCGATAGTAAACCGCAGCTAGTAAGGAGGGATCTTAGAACTCCCCAATAAACAGATCGACTTGTATGGTTTGTCCTCCTATTGAAGCACACTACAGCGCTTAATAATACGGGTGCTGTATATACTCACATAAATGTAATAGCGTGAAGAGCGATGAGTCAAATAAACACGAGAGATTTTTCGTCTTAAGCACACTTTTGCATTCTAATTCTTCAAACGGTACTCTCGATTTGATTAGCAGAGCCCATAGACCAAGGTATCTCCAGCAAGCACGAACGTGAATGCAGTTTCGTTCATATCTTCCCGTCTCGACACGTATTTTGATTCAATGTAAAGCATGAGGCTTCAAGTGGCCCGGTCGTACGCATCTATAGCGAAATCGCAGCTGTCGGTAAGGTACCATTGAGTCTGCTTGGTCCTAACGTTGTTGAGAAGTTGATTCGATATTAAAAAAGGGACCGTAACAAGCATTTTTAAAATATAGGTACTTTTATAATAGTAATATAGGAATAGACGCCAAGAAAGAGCAAATAAAATTGGTTTTCGAAGATATCGAGTTCAGGAACTAGATTGGATTAGCTCACCGGCTTCTTCAGTCGTCCTAACAGACATGAATTTAACAATACAGTTGATATCCTTTTCATAATCATCAATGACATAATCGACGGAACTCAATTAACGCATTATATATTACCATACAGCATGTTCCTTCACATATGCTTATACAAATCACACCACTCACACGGCTTTGTGAAAAATGATCAATTGTCCCTGAAACCACCAGTGTGTCCTCAGCTACTGCACCGTACGCACGTGCACTCCTCTATGTTAGACCCACTCAAAACGACCTCGTTATTTGCACTATTAACGCATCTGTTGCCAAACATTCGGAGCGAGGCCTATTTACGCACGCTTTAAATTCAAATATATAGCACAGTCTATAATATTAATGCCTACTGTTTACATGCAATATATATTTTATGGGTATTGGGACTACCATGCATTTCCATACAAAATGGAACTATTCAGGTTCAAACTCATCTTCGGATCTCGTTTTTACCCGCCCACAGTTCTGCGCCTCCGCTTCTCCATCAACATTTGGCCCTAATTACACTACCGTAGTAACCATGAATGACTCTCATGTGATTCTCACTCGTAGTAGATTAGAACAACGCTAAGTAACCCTTTACCATCTTTACTTTTGATAACGATTTGGGTATTGCCAAAGCTTTTCCATCTACCCTATTCTTTTTCCTCTTAGTTTTTTAGCTCCCCCGCGTCCATTTGAAGAGCTCAGCTGTTTACTAGCCTTTTCTTGGTGACGGCGTAGCAGAACTATCCGGATGTTTTCCGCCTAGCTTTGGATATTTATGCGCTGACAAACTTAGATGCACACGTATGGGTACTTGACTACTACTTTTGCTACTACAGCTTAGCTGTGGCGGCCATAAACCGACCGCTTGTCTGGGCTGGGTGCTAGTGCCATATGGCTGTATTGAATGTGTCAGCTGTTGGTGTCCTGCCGTCCTCTTATTTTGTATACTATTGGACTTAGACACGCAATTAGTGCAGGGCAGCGTGCCTCTTAAGAACGGCTGTGGTAACATTCCTCTCATGACATCGCGTTGTCCGTTGGACAGCAGATGTCGCAAGGGAAGTTGAATCTACCTAGCCTTACAAGCTGCTGTTATCCCCCCGCCCCCCCGCCCTGCTATCCCGGCATTTGTTGGTGACGCCATGGCATCTAAGGGTCTATGCCGGCGGTTGCTAGTGGCCTGTACGTTGACAATGTCCAGCAGGCTATGACTGGTCATCTAATAAAGTCAGTAGTTATTTTTCTGTTAGGTTTTGCTTGCATTTCGCTTAAGCCTGCTTGACCGTTTAGACCTTTTTAGACCGGAGCTTCTCATTGCCCCATGTACCTCATCCCTCGGGCACAGTTCGTATCTCGACAAGTTACCTCTTATGAACAACGTTCCTGCGCGGCATCTTCTGTTCCTGCACTATTGTACACCGGCGCTAAGTGCAAATAGCGTACGAAGCAAGCCAGTGAGCCTTACACTTTTCTTGCACCTGGCGTACTCTTCTACGGGAGTACGACAAGGTGCGATACGGCAAATTTGGAGACCAATGCTGGAAAAAGAGGAGAAGAGAACCGGGACGAACGGCATAGCCGAGTACTGCTGAAAATCGTTTCCACTGCTGCTTTTATCAAAATGGCTAACGTTTGGCTTAAGACTTGGCTCAAATCGCTGCGCTATAACGCTAACGCGACAAGTGCTCTTTCCTAACGTCCACATACCCTTTGCCGTCCCCTCGTCGTTCACAGCAACAACCTAGTTACACCATGTCAACACTACCTATATACACATGGTGCTATAAATAGATATGGGAGACAGCGTTTCCCCTAAATGGCCTCTCGGGGTTGGGAGAATGGGGTTTCCTCTACACGACCCACGCAGCTGAACAGGTCTGTGTAAACTAACGCTTCACGGAGTACTGCTGCACATTCTTCTATTTATTTCCCATATTCCTAAGGAGATGAGGGATATGGGCAGGCGTGAACGTTCCTTCGCTTAATTGGACTTGTGGCCTGAATGAACCTGTAGGCAAGTAAAGGGGAAGCTAGGAGATATTTAGCACACGATACATCATTGTAGTGCAACTGATGGTGCTAATTCCCACTGTTATTAAGAAAGTTATTAATATTTATTATTTTTGCTAATTTTTATTTTTGCTGTTTATTATTGTTAATTACTTTATTACTGTTGTTACAATTATTAATGACTTAATTGTTACTCTTAACTTCCTATTAATTTATGTACTATATGTACTCATTATTTATTAAATTTTATCCTCGGTATATTAATAACGATGGGAATTCCTAGAATATATGATTGGCACGCGCCGTAGAAGGCGACTGTGCTATCAATGTATATGTCCCAACATACGGTCTGAGACCGTGTTCGCTCTGGGTTGGTTCTTCCTTGAAAGTCTACCCTGTACGCTCAAACCAAATTTTCCCCTTGGTTGCCACCACATCCGTATGCACTTACTTCGGCGTTCTCTGCAACCGATCGCCTTTGTAATGACAGTCACTCTTGAATGGGAGCAGATGTCGGAATGTACTCTTTTTACTTTAGGCTTCGACACTGAACCACAACCTTCCTAGCTTGTGGATTATATAATATGGAAGCGCTTCACTATTTTCTGTGAGACGACATGATCACTGCTTGGATGGGATCGGGTGATCTGCAGTAGTGCTGCGTACCCGTTGATTCGAAACAGGAACCTATTAACGGGCACGTATCCCAGAATAGGTGCTCCTGCGTCGAGTCTTACGATAAATTCGTTTCGACGAGGGTCTGCTTGTTCCATTCTCCTGACATCGGCCCGCTTCATACTCCTGGCATTAGCAACCTCAAGACCTTGCAACTCCATGGTGGGCGCCATCAGAGCTTACTCGTTCGACACGGGTCCTTTTTTGCGTTCCGATACGGTCCTTTGTTTTGTGCCACGCAAATACACCGGATCTGCCTGCTATTACCGCTGAGCTCCTGCGCCTAAAAGCCACTGGATACACTAGAGTAAACACAAAAACTTGACCTACTACGCATTCTGGCTGATTCGGACGACTGTTCCGCTTCAGCTTTATCTCGGTGTATTCGGTAGTCGTGTGTAACCATCGCAAGTGCCGTAAGCCAAGCACCGAGGCTCCAGTCAGGTAATTCATACAGGCACGATTTCTTGATGTGTTCTCGAAACGCCTTGAACTTACACGATAATCCGACACGGTCCAGTGGAAACCGCTTTTCTTACATAAACAGTACAGGTTTTCATCACATTCTCGGACCCGAGAGGTGCTGCTTCGCGTGGAAGCCGTTCAAATGGACGACTCGAAAATTCCAGCATCTTCTTGCTGCCCACAGCGGATTCGAAGCGGTACTGACCTGGACCTGGCAAAAATCCATAAGCGATCTCATATAGGCGTTTACGTGACTAACCTGCTGCTATCTCTAGGGCCCTGATCCCTTATTCAGGCCCTAAACAGAAAAGAAAAGGTAGCAACGGCGGCAATACGAATCCTTCTACACTTCCTGTGAAATGCTGCGTCACAGAAGGCAGCCTTCCAGGCCATTTCGCCCATCTTCGATTTGACTAGTCCTCTGGCTTGCATGATTCGCTCTCCTCTTGCTACCACAGTTTGTAGTGACGATACACTACTACTGGTATAAACGTTATTTATTTCAGCTAACTTCATTTTTACGACGACCGAAATATTTGGCGCTAAACAGATGATAGGTACGCTCCAAAAGAATATGTATATATATATATATACATGGCAGTGATCGACAATGTGTGCATGAATACAGACAAACTCTTTGCTATAGTGTGAGGTATGGATTAACGTCTTGCCGCGGAAAAGAATGCAACAAAACAGTGGAAAGGACTAACCGACACACAAAGATACACACTATACATGAACCATACTTACTGAAATTAGGCAAATGCGTTTGTGGATAAATAGCGAAGAATACGCGCGCAGCTGCCAGCGTCGTGGCAGAATGAGTATTTGAGAAAACTATTTGGGTTGACAAGGTCGGCTTCTATATATTGTCGTATGAAGCAATGTTTTTGCTATGTCTTCATCCTCTTGTTCGTCTCATTTAGTTATATTTGTCTCATTTAGTTGAGTCTTACTATAAGAGAACTTTTAAAATAATAATTGAAATACACTTGTTCAAGTAATAGTAAAAATAGTAAAGTACATGTTTGATTTAAAAATAAAACGCTAAATAGAAGTGGAAATTCTTTAATTTTAAGAAAGAAAAATTTGGTTTGCACCCTTAAAATGGTATAGAATGCTCACAGGACGCAGTGGTTTACCAGGTTCAAAAACAGCGCGCTGCCAAAATTAACATCTTTTCCGAGCAGTAGTCTTATGTCCACGTAATTGAATTACCTAAATATGAGCATGCTCGATATCGGCCTACATAACCTATAGTTGGTACATTAGATAACGCAAAATAAATGTTCTTAAATATATTATATTGGAAATAAATGTTCCACGTGTTTTTTTCTATTATAATTCATTTGTATGCAGTTTTATAAGTATGGGCAAGCAGTGGTAAGTATTTATAGTTGTTCGAGTTGAGTCGTATTGTGGATAAAGTATGCTTGCATTCCTGTCCTATTGAGAAGAAAAAACCTCGGTTGAGGCCGACGACAAGCGATGTGATAAAAGTAGGTAGACTAGTGTTGTTGACAACGTTTCAGCACAAACGCTTTAACGCTCATCTTACCATGTTGAATAGGCCCTATAAATAGCAAAACAATGCACCAGAACCGATCACAGAAAGACGTATATTGTGCTATGTCATTTATAGCTCTAATTTCACATAAAGGACTGAGTGGAGTTTAAACATGATTCAGTTATTGGACGGGTTGTTGCAGTGGTAAACGTAAAGTTGTAACTCAAGCGGCAGAACTGTCGGCCGATTGTTTTCTCGTGGTGCAAATTCGGACAAAGGGCCTCTGTCCTACTTTGCGTATCCCAGATAGTACGATATAAAGCCCGCTATCCGACGTCACCATATCTGATACGTTACCAGTGAGCGACGCGGTGGGTCTCTTTTTCAAGTCACATCAACTGTGTTCCAGCCACGCATTAGTCTTCTGTGACCACAGCGTGCGAATAATCTATAACCGAGGCTCGGAAATCGGAAGATGAAGACTGGAAGCGCGCAGAGACTAACGTGTCGCATAATACATAACGAAGTGTTATCATTCAAGCTTACATCACGTGGGAACAATCGCAATTTTGTGTGCCAGATTTTAAATAATGA